GAGGCTCTCTGAGCTTTCTGGACTTCATGGAAGTCTTTTTTCTTTGCCAGATTGTGGAAGTTCTCCTTCATTATTTTGCCAAGTCAGTTTTCAATTTGTTGCTCTTTCTTTTGTCCTTCTTGCTCCCCTATGATGAAGATGTTGGTATGATTAAGGTTGTCCCAGAGTTTCCTAAGTGTCTCATTTCTTTGAATTTCTGTTTCTTCATTCTGTTCCAGTTGAATGTTGATTTCTTCCTTGTGTTCCAAACTGTTGATTGGAGTCTCGGTTTCCTTAGCATCCTGGTTTGTTCCCAGTACATTTTCCTTTTTGTCACTTTGTGTAGCTTCCTCTGCTTTGCAACCATACTCACCAATGACTGTGAGCATCCTGATTACCAGTGTTTTGAACTCTGCTTCTGATAGGTTGGCTATCTATTCCTTGCTTAGTTCTATATTTGGAAGTTTGATCTGCTCTTTGATTTTGGTCCTACTTCTTTGTGTTGACATGCCTGTTACATGGCAAGGTGGGGAGCCTTAAGTAGTCATCAGGGTGGGGCCACCCAGGTTGCTGATTTGTGCTGCTATATGTGAGGTAGGGGCTGAGAGGGATCACCTCTAGGCTTCTGCTTGGCTCTTGGCTGCTTTTCAGTCAAGTCCCCATCTACTCATAAGCAAATTGGGCCCTTCTGCTACTGATCTGTGGGTTGGTGGGTTTGGGTACATTCTAGGACCCTGTGGGTGTCCAATGAATTCTCCTATGAGGTTGGGGGTTTCTCTTGCCAGGACAACCCCTGGATTTTTACAGTCAGAGGTTTTGAGGCTTTATTTTCCCTGCTGGAAAACTTGGTTGTGTGGTCTATTTCGGTCCCTGGCTATTCCTTCTGGTTCATCCACATGGAAATGTGGGACTGCCCATTCTGCCAGCTGCCACCTTGTGGTCTGCCAGCTGCTGCCTTGCTCTCCCAGATCTTCTAGCTGCTTCCTTGCATGAGAGTCCTCTCCACCTCTCTGCCTGTCTCAGCTCATCCAACCAGTCTGGATGAATGTTTCTTTAACTCCTGGATTGTTGGACTTCCATAGAGTTCTATTGTCTGGAAGTTCTGATTATTTTCTGTTTTTGAATTTGTTGTCATCCTTCTTTTGGTTGTGTGAGGCGGGAAAGTTTATCTACCTATGACTCCATCTTGATAGCAAGTCAGGACTCTTTTGTGTGTGTGTGTTGGCATGCAGCTGCGATTGTATAGTCGACTTGTATAACGCTTTCCTGGAATGTCCACCCTCAGTGCTTAGAAGCCTTGGTTTGACTTGATTGCACACTGAGATATAAATTCTAGAAAACAGGCAAATAATGGGCTCAGCGAGAAATTCCTTAAAAGACAATACCTTGAAACTTTCTGTCCTAAAGTAGCTTTCCTCCATGTCTGAAACAGCTTACAGGTCAGTGCTTGGTCCTTTTTGATCTGGTGAACTCTTTTGCCCACATTGGCTGTCGAGACTTCCGGAATCATTGTTTGAGTATCCAATAAAGAAGGGAAGCACCAAGAAGCCACAGCATTCACTCAGGCACACCACATTTTTTTGATTTCTGCATATTGTTTTCCCTGCTTGTTCACACGTTTGATAATACTCCAAACTCAAAGTATACTCAGTCAAGTCTGAGTTGTGACTAAAACCCATCTGTGCTTTCCTCATAACTGCTTGTGGTGACCTCTGAAAGTAGTTCACTATTTCCTTCACCCAGAAAAATGCACAAAATCATGGGACTCAAGAGTTTCAAAACTTCATGTTCACTTTAACACCCATAAGACTTTCCAGGCCACCCAGTGCATGGAAGTCTGAAACACTGCCAAGAATCCGAAGGATGTCCCTTTACTCAAGCCATGTGTGACATTTTGTTGTTATAATGGTGGAATTGGCAGGTGTGCTGAGGCCACCCAGTGACGCTAGACACAGGCTCGGTGACCCCAGAACAGTGCTGAATTTTTGCTGCACATGCTTGAAAATGCAGAGTAATGCTGAGCTTGAGAGGTTAGATGTAGATTCTCCTCTGCTTAATGAGAACATGCAGGTGAACAGTCTTCTCAGAGGCAGCACAGAATTTCCAGAGGTCATGGTCAGCTGAACCCACACATGAGCTCTCTCTGCCACATTGAGACAAACCTACTGAAAAAGAGCAGATTGTTCCTAAACCAGAAGAGAAAGTGCACAGAAGAGAAATATAACCCCGAAGAAATGAAAGAAAGGAAAACATAAGGCCTGGGAGTAAATTCAGCATAAAATAAGTGTGAATACAAGGGAAAGCAGGAGAAAAGAAAGCTTTTTAAAACTTTCACTAGCCCTTGTGGCAGAGCTAGTCTCATATGTAACTGCAGTTCCTGGAGTGACTCCTGTTTCCCATCTATTTTTCTGTTCTTCTTTCCTGGCAAAATTGGGAGCTTGGTTCAATTCAGTCCTTCCATTTATTCTGCTCTTGTATACATCCTGCCTGCTCAGCTCAGTATATATACTTCAAAGTTGTGTCTCTTCAAAAATTTTATTTATTTACTTATTTATTTAAAATGTAACTTATTTTTAGAGAGAGGAGAAGGGAATCAGAGAGGGAGAGGAACGTCAATGTGTGGTTTCCTCTCACAAGGCTTATTCAGGGTGATCTGGCCCTCAATCCAGGCATGTACCCTCTTTGGGAGTCGAACCCGTGACCATCTATTTTGCGGGCTGGGCTCAACTCACTGAATGACATCAGCCAATGCATGTCAGTTGAAATTTCGTCAGGTCGTGCCCTCCAGTTCCATCCCATGGTTACCTAATCAAACATTAATCTAGATATTTCTGCAAAAGGGACATCCCAGAGGTTGTTAAATATAGATAACAAAAAAGAGATTACCTTAGATAATTTTGGTAGGCTCCATATAATTATGTAAAGTCTTAAAAGTTGATAAATTTCTCCATCTGGAGTCAGAGAGGTGGTGAGGAAGAGTAGGCAGAAGAGGTGTGCAGGGGATACTTCTGGCCAAGATGGAGGCATTGGTGGAAATACTGTACTTCTGCACACAACCAAATTTAAGGACAAGAAAGATTTAGAAGCAAAAGTACAAGCCAAATAGACAGAAAAGGGAACTGTACTAAGTCTGGACAACAAGGGACCATTCATCCAGACCAGTAAGAATGGTGGAGACTTGTCTGGTGGAGAATGGTCCCCACAAGAGGAGGCATTGATTTGCCACCTGGGCAAACAAGAAAAAAAACACCCAGTAAGGCTTGCAAGGCGGCTGGCTGACTGAGGACACATTTGCATGTAGAGAAAACAGGCAGGTTTAAAAATGGTCAGTGAGACAGACCGTACAACCCAGGACCCCAGTGATGGGAAATAAAGCCTCAAAGCACAGACTGGAGAAAGTTTTGAGGGCTGAAGTGCCAGGGGATACTCCCAGCCTCAAAGGAGAGTTCATTGGAAAGACCCACAGTGTCCTAGTAGAAACCAAGCCCACCCACCCAGGAACCAACACCAGAAGTGCCCAATTTGCTTTTGGGAGATTGCAGATGGGACTGAAATCTGAGAGACAGTGGAACAAATACTATTGCTCTCTCTATGATTCGACCCCTAGTCACAACACAGTAACTGGCCTGACCTGCTCCATTGAACACCTAATGCTCAGCCCCTTCCCCATAACAGACACAAACAGACCAAAACATTATGGCTCAAATAGAAAAACAGCTCAAGGCCCCAGAGCCAATGCTTCTAAGTGACCAAGAGATAGCTCATCTATCAGATGCAGAGTTGAAAACACTGGTGATCAGGATGCTCACTGAACTGGTTGATTTTAGTCACACATTAGATGAAAAAATGAAGGCAACATTATGTGAAATGAGGCAAAATGCACAGAGAACCAATGGTGATGTAAACAAATCTAAGCTAAAATGAATACAGTGGACCAGAAGGAAGAAAGAAATGACCAAACAGAAAAGAATGAAGAAAGAAAAATTGAACAAAATTCGAGGAGAGGCTTAGGAACATCTAGGACATCTTTAAACTTTCCAACATCCAAATTATATGTTGCCAGAAGGGGAAGAGTAAGAGCAACAAATGGAAAAGTTATTGGAACAAATAATAAAGGAGAACTTGCCCAATCTGGCAAAGGCAATAGACTTCCAGGAAGTCCAGGATGCTCAGAGAGTCCCAGAGAAGATGGACACAAGGAAGAACGCACCAAGGCAAACGATAATTACATTAGCCATGATTAAAATGAAGGAGAGAATTGTAAAAGTAGCAAGAGATAAGGGGACAGTCACCTACAAAGGTGTTCCCATCAGGCTGTCAGGTGATTTCCCAGAAGTGAACTTATAGGCAAGAAGGGGATGGAAAGAAGTATTCCAAGTCATGAAATCCAAAGCCCTACATGCAAGATTGCTCTGTCCAGCAAAGCTTTCATTTAGAAAGGGAGGGCAGATAAAGCACTTCTCAGATAATGTGAAGGTAAAGGAGTTCATCATCATCAAGCCCTTATTATATGAAATGTTAAAGAAACTTATCTAAGACAAAGAAGATAAAAAAGTACGAACAGTGGAAGGACAGGAAACTCACAGTTATTAACAATCATACCTAAAACAAAAGCAAACTCAGTAGAGAACTAGAAAAGGAACCTACAGAAATGGAGATCACAGAAGGGTTAGCAATCTATAGAAGCAGAACCAGAGCAATGGAGATCACATGGAGGGTTAGCAACAGGGCAGTGGGAGGAAGAGATGGGGGAAGAAGGTACAGAGAATAAGTAGCATAAACGGTACATACAAAAGAGGGGGGAGGGCAAGAATAGTATGGGAAATATAGAATGTAAAGAACTTGTGGCACATGGACCTAAACTAAAAGAGGGGAATGGGTGGAAGGAGTGTTCAGGTTGGAGGGGAATGACAGGGGGAGAATGAGACAACTGTAATGGCCTACTCATGAAATATATTTAAAAAATAAAAAAGAAGAGCTGTGCAGGGGAAATGAATGAGCCTTGAAACATTCTTTTCTAGAGCCTCTAAAAAAGATGCAGCCCTGCCAGTGCATTGATTTCAGCCTTGGGAGACCCTAAGCAGAAGAACTAGCTGAGCCATGCCATTGTGTGGACTTCCAATTAATGGAACTGTGAGGTAATACATTTGTGTTAAGATGCTAATTTTGTGACAGTATATTATGGCAGTAATGAAAAAGGATACTGGGGTTATATAGAGACCTCAAAGTCGACATATCCAATGCAGAATTTAGGATATTTCAATTCCTTGTCCACCGAGACGTCTCTGGTCTTTCCTTTCTCATTAATATTACCATTATTCACATACTTACTGGGGCCCCATATAAAATTATCTCCAGATGATTGTTTTCTGTAAGTGCGTGATGGGTTCTGGTACTCAGCGGGCATCCTGTTGCCTACTCTTCTAGCTTTATCACCCAGATTTGAAGTGTCTCACTGTACTTTCCCTAATTACATCTTTGGCCCCATGGTATAAGGCTTGGCTTCTGTCAGCTGGAACCTTCATTTGAGTTGCTTACCTGGGAAGAAACTGGTAACTTTTCTGACAACAGTGGAGATTTCATAGTATTGCTCATCTCTTTTTTTAAAACACTGGGAATAATTTTTGTTCAAGTGGAGAGTACTTTGCTTTTTTAAAAACAAGTTAAAAATTGTTGTTCAAGTATAGTTTTTTGCTTTCTGCCTCCCCTACCACTCCATCCCACCCTCCCTCCCTCCCCTATTTCCACCCACCTTGTTTTTGTCTATGTGTCTATTTTAATTGTTTCTGCAAACCCTTCACCTTTTGCCCCTATAACCCCCTCCCCTCTCCTGTCAGGTCACTGTCAGCCTGTTCTCAGTTTCAGTGTCTTAGTTATATTTTGCTCGATTGTTTGTTTTGTTGATTAGGTTTCTGTTAAAGGTGAGATCCTATGGTATTTGTCTTGTTTTTTAAGTTGAAAGATTTGTTCATTCTGAAGAGAAATTTTCGTTTCAATCTTTTTTTAATGGTAATAATAGTTCCTTCTTTTTCTTATTTATTTATTTATTATGATCACCCAAGAACATTTATTCATTGCTTTATGAGAGAGAGAGAGAGAGAGAGACATCAGTGTGAATGAGAAAGTTCGATTGGCTGCATTCTTGTACATGCCCCCCGACCAGGGGTCCAACCCACAACTTGGGTATGTGCTCCAACCAGGAATCCAAACTGTGACCTTTGGTCCATGGGACAGCATCCCAACCAACTGAACCACACACAACAGGCCAGGACTATTGCTCAAGTCTTTATTTTCAGTTTGTTAGCCTAATGTTTATGTGAGTTCTTCTGGCTTCCTTCTAAGATGATTTCTCCACCAGTTTAGGGCTACTGGAATATCTCATTCTTATCCCCAATTGGACTAGTTTGTTGAAAAAGCCTTTGGGTGAAGTAGAAGTAGTTGTATCTTGGGTAGTAGCTGCAGGGCTGGTGGGTTATTCTGTGGCTGTGGTAGATTTCATTGTAGCAGTTTGTACTTGGGATGCAGGGTTTAAGTAGGCAGGATACACAGGAAGGTATCCAGGAATTAGAGAGCAGTTCAGAAAACAGGAGGGGGTGGTGGAGGACTCTCTGGGCCACTAGGGGGAGGAGGAGGAGGTGGTGGAGGACTCCCTGGGCCACTAGGGGGAGGAGGAGGAGGTGGTGGAGGACTCCCTGGGCCACTAGGGGGAGGAGGAGGGGGTGGTGGAGGACTCCCTGGGCCACTAGGGGGAGGAGGAGGGGGTGGTGGAGGACTCCCTGGGCCATTAGGGGGAGGAGGAGGGGGTGGTGGAGGACTCCCTGGGCCTTTAGGGGGAGGAGGAGGGGGTGGTGGAGGACTCCCTGGGTCATCAGGGGAAGGAGGAGGGGGTGCAGGTGGTCTCCCCTCTTCTCCTTGACTCTCAGCAGGCTGTGGGAAAAAAGAAGTTAACAAATTTAAATTAAATATTTCAGTGGGTATCCAAAGAACTTACAGTCTCTGTGGCAGGCAGAATTCTGAGATGGCTCCCAAGATTCCTGTTTTCTGTTGGCCAATGCTGTTCTGACTGTACCAGGTGAGCCTTTTAAAATAGGTTGCACAGGTCAGAGACACAAGATGTCCGAGAGATCTGAACCTGCAGCAAGTGTTGTGGTCTTAGCTTTGGAGCCAAGAGCCATGTTGTAGAGAGGAACACATGGGAATAAATGGTGGATGGGCAAGAGGAGCTAGGACTGGACCCTGGCTCAGAGGAAGCAAATAAGGTCCTCAGTCCCTCAAACAAGGGACCCAATCCTTCTAATAGTCACACAAGCCTGAAAGAGGATTTGGCTCCAGAAACGAACACAGTTTTGGGAACAGTTTTTCAACCTTGTCAGACCCTGAGCAGAGAATCCAACCAAACCAAGGCCAGAATTCTGACCAAAGAATCTGTGATATAATGAATGGAGTTTTGAAGCTAGTAGTTTGTGGAGATTTGTTATGCAGCAAGAGAAAATACTATATCTATCTAAGTCACACAGTTTGAAAGTCTGTATTAGAGAAGAGGAAGAGTGTTTCTTTTTTGTCCTGTGAATGCCTAGGTGCTCAGTGAAAGCTGAGATAGTGCTGAAGGAAAATAAAAATGGAGTTAAATCACATCGTTTGCTTATCGTAGAGACAGCCATTGGCATCAGTTTCAAATGGAGAAAATTTCTCCTGTCTCATTGAAGAGTTCAAGAATGTTTCAGAGTTTGAAACTAATAAGTTGTCAAATATGTTACTGAGCACCTACTTTGTGCAATATGCTGTAGTAGGAGCTATAAGGGTATAAAGATGCAGTTTGTGAGTGTACAGATTAAGTAGCTATGATACTAGAAGGTACAAAAATTGCCCAAAGAGAGGCAGTTCCCTGCCTCTGCTACTTAGAGATTGGTGAGTGGGAAATGCTTTCTGAGCCTCTCTCTTACTTCACCTGGAAAATGCCATTCCCAAAAGTCCCCCTGACCTAGGGGCACGGTGAGATTTGTTGTGAAACATTATTAGCAAAGTGCTTAGGGCAGAGCTTGGCTTAGGTGCAGTGCTCAGTGAATGTTATGTGCTGCTATTTCCTATGGTAAGCCCTTGGATAGTGGCTGCAGTTTTTGGAAAGAAAAATAGTGCAGGAAACAAATACATTTAGAGTGACTAGTTTTGGAGAGAGGAAGGATTGTCTCACTGAGAAGGCAGCATTTGAAAGGGGGCTGAAATAATACAAAACTGTGTTGAGGGCAAGTCAAATGGAGGAAAGTATGTAAATGGTCCAAGGCAGGAAAACGCAGGTGCTATTCTCTTGAGTCCTCTTCTCTATGGGACACACAACTGAACTTCCTTCCTGCTGTCCCCAGGTCCTTCAGGGACTTGTGTGACACTGCCAGTGCCCAAATGTAGGAAACCCCTAAATGTTTCCTTTTCTTAAATTCTACTTGCAGGTCCCTAACCAGAGTTGGCAGAGGTCAAAGCCCTGTTCCATTGCAAATGTATGGTGTTTCAGTGTTGCCCTGCAAATCCTTCAAATGCCTTAGATTTATGCCACGCCATTCCCCAGAAGCCTGCACTTTTCTAAGTTGGTGCCAGTTTAATTAGAGTTCTCTTCCTCTTCTTTAGCCCTCATCCACCCCACTAAGCTGGTGTTTTCTACTGTTTCTTCAAAGTAATGTGGGAAGTTACACATGAACTTTATCGATTTACTGGCCACATGCCATAAAGTCATAAGTATTTGGATATTTCCTTTTTCTTTATAAGTGTTTCTTCAGGATTCTGTCAGTCTTTCCTTTTTTATGCCTGAACTTCAATATGTGCCTTTTAAGTGGCTTGTTTTCCCACAAGATAACTAGCGCCCATGTGCCACTTTTAAAAAAGTCCCCTTCCAACCATGCATTTTCTTGTCACCTCTTTCTCTTCACCTCTGTCCTTGACAGCAAAACTCTCTGAAAGGGTAGCCTAGGTTTGCTGACACTGATCCCACTTCTCATTCGTGAGCCACTCTTCGAACTGACTTTTGTCCCCAGCATGCCAGTGAAACACTTTCTTTGGTGTCACCAATCCAACACAAAATGCCTAGTTACAGCTCTGAACGTGTTATGTCAGCCATCCCTACTTAGTGACAGTGTATTGAATTGGGAAGGGCATTTGACCCAAGTGCTGACAATCCAAAGGCTAGATCAGGGTGTTTGAAAAGTTCAAGACTTGTCTTTCAATCTGCAAAAACTCCAAATCCTTAGTGTGGAAGAATACTTCCCATTATTTGCACTGTTGAGACAGTTACTTTCCTGAAAGTACCCTTATCTCCTGAGCATATCCTGGGTATCAATCTAAAAGTTATGTGCAATGCCAAAAATCTCTGTAGTCAATATCTGTTTTTTCGTAGCCTTTTACCTTATCCACAGTAATTAGCTTCCTTTTCACAAGTGGACAATGATAATGAACTTGGTAGAAATGATGAAGATACTATGTTAGAAAGAAAAATTACTCTCTCAGGGGAATAAAAGGAAGCTAATTTCTTCCATTTCTTGGCTTAGGAACAATTCGGTTAGGATATGAATACTTAAAACCTCAATGTATTTATTCTTTAATGTGTTAATATTTATTCATTTTCTTTGGTAGAAGTTCCTCTGGAGTTTATCTCTTTCCCAAAACTGAAATGAACCTATCCCTGCTTTTCAGCTGACTATTACTGTATTCCTTATGGAACACCAAAACTTGTAGCTTTTTTTATCCATTAAAATGTTGAATATGGTTTGAATATTTAGAAGCCTCGTTGGTGCTTAACCCAGTCCTCTACTCCTGGGAGGTGTTTATTGATATCAATATTTACAGCTTATGAAATGTTTCCTGAGTCCTTGGAATAATGCATATTTCTGGGTCTTACTGTCAGACACTCGTTCATTGTGGAATGTGGCTTGGCTTACTATATTTTTAATAAGTGAGTCAGTTTACTCTGATGTAGATAAACATGAAGCCCATGTTGATAAAATTTTTCTGTTTTAACTATGCCCATATGTAGATGAGGAAACAAAATCTCAAAAAATGTAAAGAATATAGTCAAGCTTATTTCAAAAATGTCACTAAGTGTATTGGAAATAATTGCAAGAAATGAGTTTCCCTGCTTGTGAAGTTGCTAATGTATGTGTACGCAGTTCTATTCCTGTCTGTGTAATACAGTCTGATATTACAGAACTAAACAGTGGCATGTGGTGGCCATGAGCTATGTGTGGCAATTTAAATTACATTAGATGTATAATTTAAGTGGAAATTAAGCAGTAGAACAGTGATTGACAGCTGCTAATATATGAGGAATATTAACATCATTAGTGTGAAAAATCTGACTAGTAGCTGCATGAGAAATATGAAGGGTGATTAAGGAGACTTACCGAGAAACAGGCTTGAAGGGCCAAGAGGCCCAAGAGTAGGCACAGTGATTTCATCCTTACTGTTACTCCTGGAAATAAGCACAATGGCTGATCAATACTCCTTGTGTTTTGAAAGTGTCCCAACCACTGGTATTTGAAACAGTGTACAAATAGTACTGTATAGCATTTTAAGAAGATTGTCTAATTTTATTTTGGACTAGGTATTAAGAAGGAGCAATACTATTAGGCTTCTGATGTGGAAGTATGAAATAATGAAACTCATTTTCACTTTTGACTTGTAAGCTAAACATAGGAGATAATGGCAATAAGTTGTTCATAAAATGCTTTATTTGACAGAGCTTTTATGAGTAAGATTTTTTCTTTCATATATTATCTTGTAAGGTGAGTCTTTTTCTTACTATGGAGATGTCTCAAGAAACATTTATTTATATATTTGTATTGAAGTTGTTGGTATTACATTGGTTAACAGAATTATATAGGTGTAAGGTGTCCAATTCCATATGACATCATCTGTGTACTGTACTGTGTGTTTACCACTCCAAGTCAGTCTCCTTCCATGTCTTTGCAGTTGGCCCCCTTCACCCTGTCTTGCCACCTCCACCCCATTTCTCTGTGGTAGTCGCCATAATTTAGTCTCTGAGGGTTTTTATTTGGCTTAATCTTTTCACCAAGAAATAAAATTTAAAATATATGATTTAGTTATAGTAATACCTCTAAAACCAATTTATAAGGTAATGCGGTGCCTATTACAAAATATCTCGATGTTCAAGTCTGAAAAAGGGTGCATTTCAAAGACAGTTGACCCTTGAACAAAACAGGTTTGAGCTGCAGGTGTCCACTTATATTGAGTTTTTTTCCAGTAAATGTATAGTGGGCACTCCATATCCCTAGGTTTTGCATTCACAGATTCAACCAACTGAAGATTGAAACTGGTTTTGATCTTCTCACTGGGAATCTGTGGGCACAGAAGGCCAACTGTTTGCCTTTTTCTACACCGTAGTATATATAAGGGACTTGAGCATTCACAGATTTAGTATACATGAGTGACCAAAAATAAATCAGTCTGCAGACACTGAATGATGACATGTGAGTCAAAGATTATGCTTGGATTTTCTACTGTGGGGCATTGGCACCCCCAACCCCTGTGTTGTTCATGGGTAAACTGCAGTTGAAGGAAAAATTGTCATGTAATATAGATCCTATTTTTAACAACATTCTACTAAGTTGTTTTATTCCATGATAAGCAATCTCAAGTTACTTCCAAAACTACGTATAATGTACATCAAAGACCAAGGCAGAATTGGGGATACGTTCAGGTGTTTTTCTCTCAATCAGCTTCAAATTTACAACGAATTTCAGGTTCATGATAGCCTGTGTTCTGGGAGAGCAGTACATGCATGTCTGTGAAGACTGGCTTTCTAGTAGTCAGCTCTACCTATCAGGTGAGTGTGTTGACTGAACAAGTCCTAAAAGAATCTTAGGAACAAATTTCACTGAATATTCCATTATACCTGCAGATAGCTTTTTCTTTAAGTATTACTTTTCCTCTGACACATTCTTGGATAACATTTAAAAAACAAAGTCAAAACTCAGAATAAACATGTGCTGTAGTTCAATTCAATTCTCTTAGGATTTATTTGATAATGTTCTGGTCATTATGAAACTCAAAAAAATGTTAAGGCACATCAGGGGGAAGAATTGATTGATTGTGTAATTTGGCTGGATTAATTGTCCTAAGTGCTGACATAAATGCTTTCCTTTGACATGTAGAATTTCACAAGATGTAATGGATTTTATGACTTACCAAATTTCATGTAAGTCACATATTATTTTAGTGAAAAATGGATGTTCTCTAAAAGCCCATGAAAATGATATCTTTAAAAGTTTCGGAACCAATCAGAGTGGTCCTGGCATAAAAGCAGATATATAGATCAGTGGAACAAAATAGAGACCCCCGAAATAAATGCATGCCTTTATGGTCAACTAATTTTTGGCAAAAGCAGCTACAACATACAGTGAGTGAAAGGAAATGTATTCAGTAAATGGTGTTGGGAAAGTTGAATAAATTTGTGAAAAAAATGAAATGAGGTAGTTTGTTCACTATTCTCAAGAATAAACTCAAAATGAATTAAGGATTAAATGTAGGAGTCCAAATTTTAAAAGGTCTAGAAGAAAACTTAAGCAGTAAGATCTCAGATATTTCTCATGGCAATATTTTTTCTAATATATCACCTTGAGGAGGAGAACAGAAAGAAAAATTGACACATGGGACTACATAAAACTAAAAAGTTTTCATACATCAATCTATCAACAAAATGAAAGGACAGCCACTGAATTGGGGAACATATTCACCAACAATACCTCTGATAAAATGTTAATACCCCATATTTACGTAGAACTTAAAAACTCAACACAAGAAAACCCCAGAATAAATACAATTAAAAAATGGGCAAAAGACCTGAATGGACACTTCTCCTAAGAGGACATGCAGTTGGCCAACAGGTATATGAAAAGTTACTCAACATCACTAATCATCAAAGAAAGGCAAATTAAAAGCACAGTGAAATATCTAGTCAGAATGGCCAGCATCAATAAATCAGTAAATGACTGTCCTAGCGAGGATGTGCAGATAAAAACCCCTGGTACAGTGTTGGTAGAAATGCAGACTGGTGCAGCCACCGTAGAAACAGTATGAAGTTTCCTAAAAAAATAAAAATGGAACTGCCTCATAACCAGCATTTCCACTTCTGGGAATATATCCAAAGAAATCCAAAACGTGAATTTGAAAAAAATATATGCACCCTATGTTCGTTGCAGCATGAATGACCATCACCAAGATTTGGGAGCAGCCTAAGTGGCCATTAACAGGTGAAGGAGTCAGAAAGCCATGGTCCATCTGCACAGCAGACCACTACTCCACTGTAGAAAAGAAGGAAATCTTCCTTTTTGGAACAGCATGGATTGACCTGAAGAGCATTATGCTAAGAGAAATAAGCCAGTCAGAGAAAAGACAAATACTATATGACTTCACTTATATGTGGAATCTGATGGGCAGGATTAGTTAACAATCAAAAGAGAAACAGATTCATAGGAACAGAAAACAGACTGATAGATTTATTGGGGAAAGGGACTGGGAGGCTGGGTGAAAAAGGCAAAGTGATTAAGCCAAAAACACTCCCATCATAGACACAAACAACAGTATGGTGATTTCCAGAGGGAAAGAGAGGTTGGGGAGGTAGAAAAGGGTAAAGGGGGACAGTGGTGATGGGAGGGGGCATGGCAGCAGGAGGGGAACACACACTGCAATATACAAATGATGTATTGTAGAATTATATAGAATTATTATTATAGAATGATGTACACTTGAAATGTACATAGGTGTGTTATCCAGTGTTACTGTAATAAATTCAATAAACATTTTTAAAAAAATGAAAAGTTTAGTATTCAAAGTAGAAAGACTTCATACAATGTTTCCATGTACCTACCTCTGTGTGAGGGTCCTTCTCAGGGCTGAGAATTGTGCTGGTCAAAATGTGTCCTCCCAGTTATTTGTCCAAAGATGACAAAAGAAGGTGAGAAAGAATGAGAAACTGCAGCTCTTATATATGCTGCAATGGATTTCTAGTGATAATAAGGAAAAGCTAGTTGGAACAAATAAACATCTAGGTTGGGTGTTATTTAAACAAAGATAGAAAAGTGTCATTGCCAATTTGTCAATCTTTTTTCTAAAGGGTTTTATTTTTCATTTCTGAGGAGCTTTGACCCATTCAATATTATGTGTTTCCTGAGGAAACATATATTATACAACAAATCAAAATGCCCTTTCGTTTCAATAAAATAATCTGGAGTGTGTGGGGCACTGTTGCCTCTTTATTTTAAAGAAAAGCCCAAGCTGTTCTTTTCAAGTAATTGTAATGGGTCATCTTTTGTTATGTGTTACTATTACCATGTTGTTTATTTTATCTGGAAGTTAACTACACTTGTGAGAAATGAAAATGCCAAGTTGTTTTCATTATTTTATTTTATATTTTTACATGTCAAGTTAATTTTAAAGTAAACTCTAATACCAAAGAGGCAAAATTTGGGGGGATGAAACATAGAATGAAAATTAGAAATTGTTATTAAATCAGTGATGCTAAATACCACACACAGGGCACTGTGGCCAGTTATGTCCTGAGTGTCTCCATTATATTACCTGAGTTTTGGCCCCTGTTGTACATCTTTTGGGTTTAACTTTTCTACTCCTTTTTCAGTTGAGTAGTAAAGTTGCATTACTATTTTATTCTTAGGTATTTCTACATGTCCGCTGATCTATATATTATTTGTTCCATTTATGCAAAGTTAGCATGGTTGTGTAAATGCTTTTGAAGGATGACAAAAGTGAGTGCTTGGATTAAAACTTGATCTAAGTTTTGGAAATAGCAAGAAAGAAAAACCTCGATTCATACATTTTCTTAATGTTAACTGCACTTGAATTCTCCGAGTCTCTGATTATTTCAAGATATGTAGATGATTTAAAAGATACTTAAATGAACTTTTTTTAAAAGGAAGGTTCCTGTGGCTAGTGAAGAACTAAAACAGTTGTCTCAGATTGTGTTTTGACCTGGTTTCCTCAACACACAGCAAAGAGAAAGGAGGATGGAGAGAAATGATGGATTAAAACAATGGAAAAAGTAGACCAACTAATCACAATGTGTAGACCTCATTTGGTTCCTAATTCACAGGCAATATACAATTTGTACACCAAGAGGTTTTTTGATATTCTTAAGGGAATTAATGTTATAGGTGAAATAATTGTATTGTCATGACCTTACAAACAAGAATCCTTTTTTTTAAGGGATCCATTCTGAAATAGTTACAGATAGAATCAGGAGACTGGGACTTGCTTATCTATACTCTGGTTTGTGGGTAGTGAATTGAGGCATGGGTTAAGCATGATGGATTAATTGTTATTGGGACTAGGCATTGGGTCATAGATATTCATTACACAATTCTATTTCCTGTACATTTTAAATTCCCTAGAACAAAGTTTGAAAAAAGTAGAATGTATCTATCACTTGAAAGAATAAGTAACCTTTATCAACTTCACATTATATGTTAGTGTGCTCCAGAGATGAAAGTGAATTTATAGTCAGGTCATTTTCTTCAGAGTGTAATGCCAATTTTATTTGCTGAGTGATATCAGATAAGCTATTTCAACTCCTTGTACATCTGTTTCTTCACTGAAAATGTGGACACTTATAATTTCCATGTCATGGAGTTCAGCTACTCCATAGTTCATCATTCCCACATTCGACATTCATTTAATCCCTAGTACGTTTATTTAATGTCAGATATAGTTGTTGAAGTCACAGAATATTTAAAATTTTGTTGTGTTAAAAATATTTGTGGAGTCAGAGATGGTGTCAGAACAAAGAAGCGACATTTTGTGAGTTGACCTTAGTTTTCAATTATTGCAGTTAATTGAAAAATGCATTAGCTTTGTCACATTTTCTTGGCTTTAAAACAGTCTGATACATAATCAAGTGTAGTAAACTGTATAGTTGGTTTGGTAAACTTGGGGCTTAATCAGTTATTGAACAATTAATATGGTCTAATAATGGAAATGATTCTATGTGTAAGTTTACATGGAAAGTTCAACAAGCTTCTTTCTTCTCTGACAATAATTCAGGTTGTCAAAAGAGAAGTGTCTCTTCTTTCTTTTTTTTGGTGCCCAAATATTTTTTAACACAAGTGTTTTAAATCCAGGAAAAATCTACTCTGTAACAGATCATTGGCTTTGGAGGACTTAGGATGAACATTGTCAAAAGTGAAAGGTCATTTCTGAGTGACTTGTGGCCAACAAAGTCTCAGAGCAACATAAGCCAATGGAAGCACATGTCTGTTTAGAAAGGAAACAGTCACTCAAGTTAGGCTTTAATTAATGCATGGCTTTAAAGATTGTGAGTGTATACTTTCTAGAATAGTACCTGAATTAACTAGTGTCTGGAAGTTCAAGGTGACAGTGAAGACAGAGAATTAAGTGTCAGACATAAAAATAGTTTCATGAATAATCACACTTGACCCAATGAAACTCGGTCGTGCAGCAACTTATTTGCAGTCTGCTGCTCTGTGGTGCAGCAGTACCACTGTGTCTTTGGACCTGAGGAAGGCGTGTAAGTGTGTCACTTCTGAATTGTGGATTTGGCTCCAACCTGTAAAGGAAAAATCAGTATAGAGTTGCCTTTTCATTAGAGTTTTATTAGATGGGTAACTCTCTAAGAAGGATTATAGTTTGTCTTTGAAGATCTCTTGGGAAATATTGCTGGCTTCATCTTATTACTCAAAATATGCTTCCTTTTTCACGCTTTATTTAAAAAAAGCCTGGCTCTATACAAGTTTTCTCTGTAAACTAGACTCAATGCTTTTAAAAATTCAAAATGTAAATGAAACACATTTGATAATTGATGAATAATGTTACATTTGTTTTTTCATTTAATTGACAAAGTAACTCTAAGCCTTAGTGAGAAAGAAATGAATATCCTGTTTTTTTAAACAGAAAACTAGAGGGGTAGTGTTAGTATTAGCATCACATCACACATGTTTAATAAGGTTCATTTCTTTCCTATTTTAAAAGGATTGTTGTTCAGGTACAGTTGTCCCACCTTCTTTCCCATTGCTCACCCCTACCCTGCCTTCCTCACTCCCATAATGTCCATGCCCTGAATCCTCTATGTGAGTTCCTTTGCTTGCTCTTTCCCCTTCTTTCCCCTGTTATCCCCCTCTCACTATCCCCTCCCCTGTGGCCACTGTCCATTTGTTCTTTATTTCCAAGTCTCTGGTTCTATTTTTTGTTTTTTTGTTTTATTCATTAGGTTCCACTTATAGGTGAGATCCTATGGTACTTGTCTTTCACTGCCCGGGTTATTTCACTTAACATAGTGCATTCCAGTTCCATCCATGCTGTTTCCAAAGGGTAGGAGCTCCTTATTTTTCAAGATTATTTAAAAACAATATTCATTGTCTATTGATAAGAATTTGTTACTTAAAAAATAAAGAAGAGCCCTGGCTGGTGTAACTCTGCAGATTGATCATAGGCCTGCCAACCAAATGGTCTCATGTTCCATTCCCAGTCAGGGCATATGCCTGAGATGGGGGCCAGGTCCCCAACTGGGGGTACATGAGGGGCAACCACACATTGATATCTTTCTCCTTTCTTTCTCCTTTTCCCTCTTTCTAAAATATAAATAAATAAAATCTTTAAGAAATAAAGAAGGACTCTAGTACATAAGTTTACTTAAAGAATGAAAGTTGTATCTTCATTACTTAAAAGCTAGTATAAATACCTTAAATAACAACTGTATGTTTTGGGGAGGAAATGGTATATTATCATGTAAAATGAAAATCTAAAGACTGAAGTTTCAGAATTGACCTTGCCCTCTATAAATAGTATGGCCTTTGGAGAAATTTTGGTAAGCTGTCAGGGCTTTATTTTCATCTGTGAAATAGTCAAGTTAAAATAAATACCTCCCTTTTGTTCCCATGAGAGTCAGATCTAGATTTGGAGGGGCCAAGGCTTATATAATTTTGAGAGCTGATGATAATTAAAAATACAAAATTATAGTTACCCACTACCCAGTGTTTGGTTGACAGCAGCCATAGAGAAGGGGAGAAAGAGGGAGGGCCAAATGCCCCAGGCTTCACTGCAGTGGGAATGGTCTGTTAGAAGTTTGGGAGAGGAATGGAGTCTGTAATATTTGTCTTTCCTGCAGAGACAACAACAATGTCAGTGACTACCAAAAGCAAACGTTTATTCTTCTCATGTCACGTGTTGACAACTGAGGGCAGCCTGGTCCTGGGATTTTGTGGTGTGTGTTTGTCATTCCAGGACCCAGATGGAAGAGAGAGTCTCCAGTTAGGACTGGAATCTCTTGTGGTGTAAGGAAAACAGAAGAGCAGGACTGGTGGGACTGCTGCCGAGGAGCGGCCTGTGTTGCCTTGAGCTCACACTGCAGTGCCCAAGCAGGTCAGGGTGCCACTTAGTCAGTGAGGCGTACTGTGTACAGAGGGCGGATGCCCTGTGGCCCTATGATATTGGGTGAAAATCTACAATCCTCTTTTTATAAGGGCAGTGGAAGGAAATGGCTGGGAACAGCAGTACCATCTACCACAATTGGGAAGCCGAGCCAAGGGACTGACAAATGCATTTCATTTATTCCTTTAACAAAACCTTATTCTTTGACAGTCTAATTCTTTCTGCCTTGTCTGTGACGCAGTTTTATTAATGATCTTCTTTTGAAAACGAAATGTTCAACTCCTTATTTTCAACTGTATATAATTTATGCTCTTGCCTGCCTTACCTTCTCAAGCCAGTGGCCTGTTGCTTTATGTTCTGTTTAATGGGAAACCTCTCGTGTTGCTGTTTCACTCTTCACCCCTTAACTTTTTTATGATTTGGATACTTACTGAGTTTCTTATTTCTAAGCATTGTGTCATCCAGGTGGTTATTGTTCTTATTTTCTTTTCTCTAAGTGTTTGTAAATTCTTAACCCTTTTTCTTTTCTTGATTTTTTTGAATAGCTTATGAATTTTGTGACCTCTCACTGCCCCTTTCTACCTGCTTTCCTGACTTTCCTCTTGTCTAGGAATGAGTTTCCCTCATGATTGTACCTTTTTCTCTCCTCCTACTTTTGATTTTCTCCCCACCAGTCCTGCTCCAAATCCTCAATTCTCCTCTTCCTCTTCCTCTTCTCTCTTTACTATACAACAATAAATTCACAGAGGATGTTGTGTTTCTGAGAGCAATGTGCTCTAAATTGTATCCAATGGTAAAGACCATCTGAATTGCATTGATGTGGAGTTCCTGCAGTACTAGTGGTGCAAAACATTTTGTTACATAAAAGTGCAGGATAAGCAGCACACACAGCTGACTGGACCATCACAATTGATTCCTTGTTTGTTTTTACATTGCAGATGTCCTGGGCGTGAGTGGTGGGAAAAGTTAATAGTATGGCCACAGCAGCCAGGTGGAATGCCTGTTCTTCATTGCCTACTATGTGTCCTTGGATAGTTGATTAAATTCCATGTGCCCCAGTTTTCCTATCTGTAGAATGTCAATAATGATGACAATTATAAGATGATGGTGAGTATTAGATAGTTATATGTGAAGTCTGGGAACCGAGTTTTCCACATAAAAGAAATTAAATGTTTTTTTTAATTTTCAAGTTACCTTTTCCCTAATAATCTTCTTGGTAAAAACTTTATTAATTTTCTTTTTCTATAAAACTCTTAATCCTGGTCCTTGTTAATATGTTTATTGAGTCTAGTTCTCATATCCAGTTTTCTATATATGTCTGATATCCATGGACTACATCTTTTTCACAGGGTTAAGAGCAACTGGACAGTGTGGTATGTAGTTGAAGTGGGTTTTGTTGTATTAACTAGAGAATTTGTTTTCAACCCTCTGTACCAAGTTGTGTAATTTTGTTTCTCTGATCTTAGTTTATCTGTTACCATTTTCTGTGTTTGCTCTTCCTAAAGATGAATAAATATCTTTCTTACATGCTTATTATCATTTGTGCCTCACCTGTAATGTTTAATAGCTGCTACACTGATACAGATGGGTTCCTAGAACACTCACCTAGTGGGGGAAGTCTGTACTACAAGGGGTCAGCCCTCCAGAAGATTATTCCAATTTTTTTGGGGGGTCTTCCTTTATATGGCATTTGAAGAATATTGATTATAAATTATTTATAAGAATGAAATGTGGTTGGGTTAGAGTGAATGGAATTGAATACAACAGGGTTTTAAGGGTCATCATTAAATGGAAGAGTCCTTCTAACAGATTAAAGTGTACACAGTTCATGAGATAAGTAGGATTGTTTTTTACTGGAGATCTTGAAGCAGAAACGTTTCTCCCCATCCTCATTCTAATGTGTGTGTTGAACCAGTCTGCAACTTTCCAGTAGTACTCTGTTTGCCTTCTTGTGTCATGATAACTACTATTCACTCAGGTGCCAAGCCTGGAGACCATTTGGAACCAACATCTCTATTAATTGGTACAAGAAAAAACCAGACTGTCTTTTGTGGGAGAGAAAAATGGGTGATCCAAAGAGAGCTAGAACAAGGTTTTTCATTGGATAAAAATTCTCCTTGCTACATTTTAGCATGGGACAACAGGGTAAGGGGAGTTCCTGAAGTTAGCAGAGCCCATAAGGCTTTGTCAGTTCACAAAATGATACTGGATAATATTTGCAGCAATAAGCCTTAGACAGTATAACTTACACTTCAGATAGTGTAAGTTAGATTCAGGTATTAGTACACAAATTTAAAAATGTTAGGTGAGCCCTGGCTGGTGTGGCTGAGTGGATTGAGAGCTGGCCTGTGTACTGAAAAGTTGCCAATTTGATTCCCAGGCAGGGCACATGCCTCGGTTGTGGGCCAGGTCTCCAGGTGGGGGTGTGCAAGAGGTAACAGACCAATGTGTCTTTCCTGCATTGATCTTTCTCTCCCTTCCTTCCCTTCTCTTTAAATGTAAATTAAAAAACTGATGGATGATACCAAGCATACGTTGTTGATGGAAAGTTATCATACCTTGAATTCTTCAGTTTATTTGATGCACATTAAGAATTTATATGGTTTCAAATTTATTTTATAGTCTCATAATCAATTTTCTTCACATATCTTTTTTGGGGGGAGCCTACCAAAGACTAAATATTTTACAGAAATGCTACTTCAGAGGTAGAATCAGAAAATACAATTTCAAATAATGACATTACACCATCCTATTTACAAATGTTGGGGATTCTAGAGACTGCTGATATGTAAAAAAATAAAATAAAATGATCGATTTCAATGGTCAACAAATGACACAGAGGAAGTTACATTAGGATCTTCGGCATGTTGGGGGAAATTGATAGCTATTTTAAAATATAGCACAGCAATTGGGGGACTGTTTTTTACATCCCGGGTGTTTAACAGCCCAGTGATTTGCCTTGTTTCCTCTAGCTTATCACCTACATACTAGAGATAGTGAAACGTTCGGCTTTCTGCCTCTGTAAATCGTCTCCTGCTTTGGTCTGAAGGACAGGCCTCGCCCTCGCTCTATCCTACCCCCACCCCCGCTCTATAAAATAACTGCTTTCCCTTTGCTCAAGGCCCAGAATTTGGAAACTGACTCCTCTGGGCCCGCGCATAAAATAAACTTCCACTCCGTACACCCGAAAGTGGTTGAGTTGTTTTCTGCAACATTTGGTTCCCTGACCGGGAATCCACATTCACGCGAGCAGGCTTTTTGCCTCAGGTGTGTGGGCGAGTGGGGAGTGACCCAGAGGGAGCCCGGGGGCGAAGGGAAGGCGCGCCCTGGTGATTTCGGGTCCCGGACACCCGGGGCTCCGTGGAAGTCATCCTCCGGACCGCTCTTCAACCCGGGCAGGCGGGGTGCGGACTGGAACTCTCTGAACCTGAGAAGGCGCCGTGGGTAAGTGCCCCGGGGACCAGAGCCGGAGATCAGATCCACCCCTTGGGATGGAAAGAGAGACTGATCACCTGCCAGGCAGGCAATTAGCCGTAAGTCCTCTGGAGACCAACTGGCCATCTCGAAGGGGAAATGTATCCTCACCTGAGCAGTCCTACTCCGGCGGGACTGTATAAATTCTTGGATGTTTGTCTGTGTGTTTGTAGGAGTGGATGTGTTTGTGGCTCCACCGGTGAAAAACCTACGGAGCAAGAGTGACCCCCTCCCCCGTCCGCTGGAGGGACAGGAGGCAGCAGAGGCGCACATGACTCCCTGCACCTGCTAAGTGGGTTGCCAGGGAGACAAGCAGGGCTGCCTCAGCCGAGCCCCCATGACTGAGCCAGGAGCCAGCTGTGAAGACCTCCTGGGCCCAAGCTAACGGCCCCAGTCGTAGGTCCTTTAGGAAACCAAATACCACCCAGGAGCAAGGAGCCACCAGATTGCCTAAGCAGAGGAACCAAGAGTAAAAAGAATGATAGATAAATCCAGATAAGTAGAAATATGTATAAAGGATGTGAAAGTTTTAAATCTGGAGTAAAGGAAACCTTAACTACTTGTTTTCTGGTTTTGTGGGAAAAGAGCAAATGTCTCACATGTGGTTCTGTTTCTAATCAGAAACCTGTATTGTAAGACCTAGGAAAGGTCGCCTGTAGCCGGCTGGGGAGAATGCCTTTGCCACCCAGGAAGGGTTAGTTGGGTCTGATGTGTGCTTCAGCCTGACACAAAGCAGCATGTCTCTGCCATGAGACCGGGTCTGAAGGAGCATGTCTCTGCAAGGTGCCCGTGGATGCACTGGTACAAGAGAATGCCTCTACCTGTGTGTTGTTTGGAAACTGTGTTTCGGATTTTGCTCTGTGTCTGCTCTGAAAAGGAAAAAGAAGGAGCCCACTGGCACGTGACAAAGGCCAGGATTACAGGTGCCTACAGCCCTCAGCCTAGCTGGCTTGGACCCAGACCAGACTGCCACAGGGCTTCAGAGACTCTCCCACTCCCCTCAAAGGGGGGCCTGGCCAGAGATCTAGAGTCGTTCACCGGGAGGGAGACTGACCCAGTGTTGCTGCGGTGTGTGGGTGGCCTCCTTTCAGCCACACTGGCCCAGGATGGGTGCTGGAAGGGCCCTTGCCAGCTTTTCGAGCTGCTGGCTGGGACAGGGTACAGGGTGTCCTTGAAGAAGGGGTGCATGTCTGGGCAGGGTGGGCACACTGCGTGCTGACCCCAGAGCTCGGGAAGGGTGGAGTGCTTGGACCAGACTCTCAGGGAAGCTCTGGCTGGTTTCCACCGCGAGGCTGGACTGATTTGCTGCCGCTGGCGCTGCTTGGGGTTGGGAGTGCCCCTAGCCCTTCGGGCTGTGCCCCATGTGGGTTGGTCTTTGGAGGGCCTCCTCCCATCCTCAGAATAGATTAAGGGGGTGGGGCAGACAGCAGGAACTCCCCTGGTGACATTGCCTTCTGGGGAGGTGAGGCCCACTGTAGGGGACTGGCTTGTCTTAGCCTGGCAAATGTGACTCAGCTCTGTATGGAAAACCTACAGATGTGAAGTGGTGGGCAGGAGCCAGATCTTCAAACCGAGTTTTACCGTGGGAATCAGGCCTAGAAAATACTCACAGACTGTTATGGCTTGCTCTTGCTAAAACTCCTTCACCCTGGTCTAAAGCAACAAATGTATATTGTTTATCCTCAAGGTAACTTCCAAAGCCTGTGTGAGCTCTCCCAAGGACAGAGCTAATCAGCTCATTGCCATCCCCCTCTGCATGCTATTTTTATTTCCTTGATTGTACCTAGAATGTAGACAATAATGTTCTATATAATAGATGTTAAATCTTTCTATGATGTAAGACCCCAGGAAAACAATAAAAGCCTGTCAAGGCAAGGGTCTGGGTGCTCCCCTCTTGACGGAGTGGCCGAGGCACCATAGGCACTCTCCCCTTGAGAGAGTAGTCGTGCCTGTTCCCTTTTCCCACACAGGATGGTTGTCGCCTGTGCATTGATTCTTGTCATCAACCACAACAGGCAGACTCTGCTGGACAGGGTCTGCAACAGCCCACTACAGCTTCTCCCACCCTGCAAGTGGGAGAAGTCACTACCATGAATTCGCAGCCTCTGTGAGTAGGCTCTGCTCACCTGCTGCACTAGGGGCCTCGGGGACCTCCTGGACCTCCTTTCCTCTAGAGACTGGAGCCAGAGCCTCAGGACTGCCATTTTGGGTAAAATGGGTGAGCCACGTGAATGCCCCACTATAGAGGACATAGCATTCATGGGCGTCACCATCTTAGAACTGGCTAAGGCTTCTTTTCAGATTATGGGCTGTATGATGCTGCTGTGTAGACACTGCAGCAGTCAGGTTCTCTGGGTAACTAGTTCTGATAAGAATAGCTTTAGTTTTGAAGGTCATGAACTGAGGTCCAAGGCTGACCATCTGATTTATAGGGTGTTCAGAAAGGTAAAACATGTCTCTGCAAATCTAGGGACTTTTATTAGAAGATGCCTACCTATAGTGCTAGGGACTTTTAGCTGCCAGATACTGAGTTTAAGTAGAGTCCTTCCCAGTGTGGGAAAGGAACAGGGATTAAAAGTGGAGTATGGATAAATCTGGATAGGTAAAAAGGCTATAAAAGGTTTGTGAATATTGCAGAAAGTCTGTGGGAAGCTATAAAAATAAATGGAGATGTGAAAGTTTTGGAAAGAAATTATGTGGTGTTAGTATTAGAAGGTGTAAGGCATGGAGATGCATCTTGATGGGTATTAGAAGGACAAAGATTTTCCTTCAAGCTTTGTGTTTTTCTCCCTACCCGATCCCTCCAGAATTTGGCATTCTGAAGGAATAAATGATAATATAAGGTTTCTTTGCATAAAACCAGTAAGACCAGTCATTAATAGTGGTTTCGTTAACCAGGACTTTGACTGGAATGTCACACCTGAAGGAGGCATGTATGGGTTCTGGTCATTACCAGAAAGCTCAGAGGAACTGGGATTGACCTGTGAAGCTAGTGAAAGCCCACAAGAAGAGCCTGGTACTTTGGTTGGTTGTGAGGTTCTAGCCAG